CAAAGATGGCCAAAGAATAAAAAGACTGGGCGTGGGAATTCTGTTTTGCCAAGTCCTCCAGCTGCACAAAAGGCCAAGACGGATGCGGCTGCGCTAAAACCGTCAGAAAAGAAAAATAATATGGCTTTAAGTTCAGCATAGTACTTCTGAGAAACATGAAGGAAGAGTTATGACACAATGGAGATGCTAACATGACACATTAGTGGGAGAGTGACACACCCAATTCCAAGGAGGCCTGTGAGACTTTAACAGAGCGCATGACACTGCTGCCACATTCTCATGTCAGCGACACCCGCACAAACTTATGAAGAACAGTGTTGAATTTGTACATGTTCAGTGACAACTGTAGTTTCAATTTCTAACCCCACCATCTATTTATAAGTGCATTTACTTACAGCATTTCAGAAACTAATAAAAATGTATCTTACAGGTTTTTTTATGTAGTTTTTCTGCACATACATCACTCTGAAACAGGAACTTCACGCCCAGTCATTCAAATGATTACATAGAAAAGTTTCAATTCTATCTTGCACACTAACACACTTAAAAAAGAAGTATATTTCTCTTTCATTTCTTGATAATACCAAGAAATGCTCATTTCCTCATCTACAGCACCTCCAGCCACACCATTATTTTTCCTGGATGTGACCTAACAAGGTCCCAGAGGACTGGACATGCTCTCCACACCGTTGTAAAACTTGCCAAGGTGCACATGTTGGAGTCAGAATCTGAGCAGGATCCGACCCTTAATTTGTAAAGCTTTGCCTACAGTGACTGAGCGCCGTAGTTCTCTGCCCTATAGATAGGTGGGTTGAATACAGGGGGGCCAGGGGCTGTAAAAAGGGAAGAGGCTGCCACGGGGGGAAGAGCCTGAGTTAACCTTTGTGGCTCGTGCTTCTACTGTGCACTAATGGATGCCTGTCATCGTTACGGACAGAAACAGGAGGGCGCCTGCCAGCTGCATGACCCCCATAAAACCGAGCAGGAAATCCTAGCAGGGTATGAAAGGGAAAGAGATCTCTTCTCTCCTTTTTCAACTCTTCTCTTCCCTTTTATGATCCCTCTTCCAGTCTCTCTTCTCTCGTTTGCTGCAAAACTGCAGTGTCACTCATAAAACAGGAGAATATGTTGTTTATCAGTCGAAGGGGGGCAAAAATCATGTTTTTCAACCTCTGCTAACAGGCTCAGGATGTTTTTAATGGTTCTGTCACGCTGGGAGGAACCTGTATAATCATTACATACAGTAGTTCACCCTTTACTCTGTAACCAAAGTCCAGGGTGTGTAATGTGACAGGACTTTGTCACACTTCTGTCAGTGGTGTCAACTTAAACGTGACAAGCTCTTTATCAGAGGGCCTTCCTATCAGATCCCAAGGAGTTCATGCACAAACACGCTGAACACAACGTCCGAAGCAAAACAGATTCCTTATTACAGCTACCAAGATAGCAGGACTTTATTGTAGGCTACACATTAATCCACTCTTTTACAGAGCCCATCATGTGATAACTTTAGTTATTACCAGAGGTACAATCATAATTACTCTGAAAGCTTTCACGATGTAGCAACAGCATTAAAAATGTCTTCATGGTCCAAGCAGGAGCTAAAGAAACAGTTCCTTATCATACGCTAAAAAGTCAAAATAACCTGATTTTACTGAAAAATATGTGACGGAGCAAGAGTGCACGTGAATGTCTTCATTTGCATACGCATGTGTTTGTGTGTTTGTAAGTGTGCCATGTCCATGGAAATGTCTGCGTGTGCGTGTGATCGCTGCATGATTCACGGTGTCACAACCATGCAGAAACGACTGGACATCCTGACCGGAAACCACAGCCGCCGAAGCTGCGCTTTCCTGCGACATACAACCCAACACTCTCACAAAGAGTCACTTGACTGGATCCCCATATGGGAAGTGAAAGAGGAAGTCCCCCATCCATCCTGTCCTCCATTCCTATCTGTGCTCTGCACTTCACATGGAGCCAATCTTACAGACAATTGCCAGTTTGAGCCTCAACTGTTGCAAAACAACAGCAACGAACTGGCTGGGGCTGGAAAGGGCTCGCTATTGGGGGTCAAATGTCTGGTCAGTTAGCGAAAGATGAGTGATAATCATTATTGTGAATGCAGAATGAACTGATCTAGCAGCTGGTTTGTGTTTGAAACAAAAGAACATTAACGAACTGACAAACAGATTCTTATTTGACGGGTGTTTGTATCTAATCTCTGACAGTTCCTGTTACAGTCAGTCAGTCAATCAGGAGATCTTCCACAAATGTTTAGACAGTCAAGCTAGACCAAATCCTTACTGTCCTGAGAAGAGGGTATGATATCACAGATGGAAGTGGTGAGTGAAGTGTGACTGTTGGTTTTGTTGGCCCGGGTCTTCCATCATGGGTCTAGGCCTCTGGCTGTGTTCATTGGTGAAAGTGTACGTAGCCTGGCAGCCGCATTCCTCTGCCTCTCCCTACACAATGGTGAGTATCTGCAGCATTCCTTTGTCTGTGTGCGCTGTCTGAGAGGAGGCCAGGCCTTGGCAAAGCCTAGCACTCAGCCGAGAGGTTGGCATTACGTTTAACTGACCCTTTGAGTGCTTTCATTGAACACTAGCCATCTATACATGTTATTCATAGAAGTGTGCTACAGTAAAATCTGCATATATTGTCATATTCATGTTATGATAAAAAGACCTCATCAGTTGAGATTTGGAAATAATTCATGTGATGCTGATGCTTTCTCTTTAAGCTGCTTTATCATCCCGTTCTTTTCCCCCCATGCAATCGTTCCCTCTCTCCATCTGTTTTTAAAAAATGCAAGCATGTCTATTCGGAACCGTTTTCGCTGCTCTTTATCCTTCTCCAGCTATTTTGCTTTCTCTCTTGTTCTAATGCCACAGCCGTGCAGACACCTTTCCCTCCTGCTGACTCAGTAGCCAGCCTCAGGCGCTGTGGGCTGGGGGTGTTGGTGGCAGGGAGGAGGGGTGGTGAGGCTCCCACATCAGGCCCAACAGCCTATCACATGCGAGGGAAAATAGCTGGCTAATCGTTTCTACAATAGCACCCTGCACACTGTCACACAGGACCACAAACCGCTCTCCTCGCCAACACTTCTTCTTCTACTACTGTCATATTCCTCTGCTGTTGCTAGGAAATCCACATGTGATGTTTGCAAGTGCGCAAATAAAGGACACCACACAAAGAAATGGACCGTTTGAAAAACCGCATCCACGTATTCAATAAGAAATATATGGCAGTATACATAAACAGAAATACAGTGTACGCAATTATTAATTCATTCACAAATAAATACTCTTTAATTTTAGGTAATTCAATCCTAAATAAAATGTATAAAATTATCAAAAAATAACGAAAATTTAAATTTGATCTGTTTACATATTTCAAATGGTATTTATTTACAAACTACATTAAATATGTAATATGATATTTATTTGAGACACAAAAGAAAAATTATTCATCTTAATTCATTTAATGAAAACCTTTAATTGATGGGCGTTTTACTTCTGCACAACAGTTAACTGTTAGTGTCTTTACGAGTATTCCTCTAACCTCATTTTAAAGTCAGACTTTGCCTGTACACTATGCCTTAAGCTGCATATAGGAGCCTCTGATTAATGAGCCCCTCACAATAACATTAAAATATAGAGGAGCATTATTTATGGCCTTAACCATCTGGTTATTTTCTGCTACATCCTTGAAGTTCACAACCACACTCATTTGCGTCACATTCTCCCTCTGCAGAGCCGATCTTTAGGGACTAGTCCTGTTCTCAGAAGGAAAGTGCTTTTGCACCTGTGGTGCGATTTTAGAGCTGCTTTCCATCAACAGAATGGTGAGGTCAAACCTGCCAGGGGTCACACATGAAAAGGGAACCTGGTTTCCAGGCTAAAGGGTGGTGCCATTAACAGAGCCACCTGCCAAGTTGAACTCTCACACAGGGGGAGCAGCGAGAAAGTCTCCTCAGACTGAGAGTAAAATCCAGTAAAGTTTTCAGCACACAGCCTGTCACAGAAGTAATAAACTCAGTTTAAAATGTGACCACTTATCTCATAGTATCACATTGTCCTTGAAACTATTATGATCATCCAAATGTAACTGTAGTCCTGAACTGAGTGTGATCTGTGTGCAGGAAATTTGCAAGAGGATTTCAAAATGTAACAGGGCAGAATAGAAAAGAGAGAAAAACACATAGTAAGTGACAAAATTCCCCCCTGTGCTGCCCAGAGGAGCTGGGAGCAGCAGGCCGCGGTTGTTGTCTCTCTCTTCCTCTGTTAATGAATGCAGAAGTGATCTGTTTGTCTGAGGAAGACAGTGGAAGGGAAACCTGATTTCCACTCCATTTTATCTGTGCCCCACAGCCTCTGCCAGGCAGCCTCCCGTGCTTTCACATGCATGGGTCCCACAGGAAACAGCAATCCATGAAGGGCAAAGGTCAGGGAAGGAGAGACAGCCACTCGTCCTTTCATTCACCACCAGACCAACAAATACACTGCGACTGTTCCTGTGCTCCTTCCTTTGGCCATCTGACAAAATACTTTTAAGATGATAAAGAAGTCACATGATTTCTTGACAGCGACTGTTCATTTGTGTGTAATTGTTATACTTTTTATTGGGTAACTGTGTATAACTTTGGAGCAGAAATACGTAGTGGAGTAAATGTTTTGGTACTGCAAACAAATAAATCAATTGACTTTCCTGTGTTCAAAATACACCCACTGAAAAACTTCAATCATCTACATTTCTTTAGAGTACACAATGTTGTCTTGGTGTATCTCCTTTTATGATGTTGTGAATTTTAAAATCATGTCTTTTTTCTGTATTGTGAGTCGGATTTTTGAATCTTGAAGGAGCTCTGATAAGTATACGTTTGTAAAACTAGTACCAAGATGTAACCTAAAATGATGTGATAATGTCTGGTAAATGTTTAACTGTATTAATAGAAACTCAATCATCAGATAGCAATTCAAACACGAGATAAGACACCGTTTTAAAAAGTCACAATGGGTTTATTGATCAACAGTAAATGAAAAACATAGAAGAAAAAACAATTTGCATAATTATATATTATCTTCAAAATAAATGTAAAGGAGGAACACATCTGTCCAGCAGAATCAGCTTCATAAAATAATACAAATGTCATTTTCAGCATCATTCTTTCAATTTTGTTTTCAATTTAGACGCATGAACACAAAATATAATTTTGAGTTACAAAAACTCGGCCAAGCAAAATCACCAAAAACAAGATGCGCAGTAACTGAAGCAGAAGGATTAAAGTTGTACATTAATAAAAAGGGAGAATTCTTTGATTTCAAGTATATCCTTTCAAACAAAATACAAATATGCCTGTGTAATAAAAACATCTCATACATGTCCTGCATGCATGCTTCAATTTAATTTTCCATTCATAACTTGTTGCCTAGTTGAGTCTATTACAGTTACTTGAGTGATATCCTTTTGTCCATCATTACTTCAAACTTGGTGGATCCATCTGACTGTTTGTTACAGAGCACGGCGAGCTGTCAACAATCAATAACTCTCTGTGGAAAAGATCAGTCCTGCAAGGAAATTAAAAACTCACATTAAATACTCAGGGGAGGAAGGATTGTCACTGGTGGACCCAGTTTCGTGGTAACAGTTTGCACCGGACAGTTTCTCACATTTTTGTTTGTATGCGTCTCTCTCCCGGATCAGTCTGCCGAGTTCATGTTTCAGCTGTTCAACCTGTGACACCAGGCTGGTTTTTTCGTGCTCCAAGACATGCTTCTGCTGCACGCGCTTGTAGCGGCAGGACTGTGCGTAACCCCTGTTTTTCAGGGTCCGGCGCTTCTGCTTCAGACGCATCACCTCGTCCTTGCCGAGGCCTCTGAGCAGCCGGTTGAGCTCTCTGACGGACATGGACACCAGCTGGTCGTCTGAGAAGCTATCGGCGTTGGATCGCCGGTCGTGGCGGCTGTGCTGCGGGAGGTGGTGGTGCGCACCGAGGACCTGCTGGTCATCCGGCGATTCGGGGCTTCCCAGGTCATCTTTGAGAAAGGGGTCATGGCAGTGACTGCTAGGTATGCCTTGCACGTCGGAGTGACCTGGTAGTCCCGGGTAGTGCTGGACAGGCTCGCCCAGATTTCCGTAGCCGTCGTATTCAGCTTGAAAAGGTGGCGGACCGTGGTGACTGTGAGTTGCAGAGGGGTGTCCCTGCTGCGCCGTGGCGCCGATTAAGGCCTCCATTGCGTCCTCGGGGGTCAGACCAAAAGCTTGAGGGTACATTTGCTGTGGGTAACCCCCGTTGTTTGGTACCCAGAACTGGTCGTTCCCGGGGTTATTTCTCTGCTCGTTTGGATTTAGGTTTGGTGATGAGGGCACTGAGTTGCAAGGTGTGCTGGCAGGAGTGGAGGAGACAGAGGCTGGTCTCTGGAGCTGGCTACACGGCCCCATGAAGGAGCGCTCTATCCCCTGTATCGCCTCCTTTTTGACGCCGAACTTCATCAAGTCAAAGTCGCTCACAAAATCCATGTTAGTTTTCTGCAGTCCCAAATGCGAATGCGACTCAGCGGTCATTGCCTGTTCTCTTGCACGAGCTCCAAAAATGTCCACAGCTAGTTCATGCAGTCAATGAAAGCGTACTTACTTTAGAAAGAAAGAAAAAGACAACAGTTCCAAACTTTTGATTTCTCAGCTTAGAGAAAAAAACATGTGTGCGAGAAACGCCTCCAACGTGATCGGTCTCTGTGAGAGCTGACGAATTGTGCTGCGCGCAGCCGATTTTCGCTTCAGCAGCCACACAATGAAAGTCCAGCGATGCCAAGAGGACTGAACGCACCTCTCTGCTTGCTCAGGAGGAGCGCACTTTCTTCATAAAGCTGCATTGGCATGATGTCACGCCTTCTAGACTACACCTCCACAGCCCTCTCCAATGAAAACACGCGGAAAAGACAGATTTGCATAAAAGCTGCTACGAGTCTGTGCTCACGAGCTGTTCGTGATGATCATTTGACCAAAACCTATAAAATGTTTTCACAGCGGACACCACTATCATTCCCAACAATAGGCGTTTTAATGTCGAGCATATTATTTGACCCTTACTACAGGTTTACCTACAGTCCTCACACAGACGGTTTAGATTTAAGTCAGTGTTCAAATATGCTGTAGCCAGGCATTTAATACCTTTTTTTTTTTTTTTTTTTTAAATCTACATTAGCGTATGTAAGCTAATGAAACTAAGGAATATCTTAGCTTTAACTGGCCTACATTTATGATACAGATTGTTGTGATTTAGTAATGTTACACAAACACACATTTTCATCGACACAACAAAAACGGAGGCTGCAAGACAGTTGGTTTGTCATCGAGTTTTGGCTGAGTCAGGAGTCTTCTTTGCACATGTGCTGCACGGGAGAATACTGACATCTTGTGGTTATTAGTCCACACTAAGTCGACGTATTCACACCGTCTGGTCCATCACAGGCAGCTTGCATGACTACAAGGAGAGATTGTCTTTCTTTGGCTATTTCACTGAGGCTCAAATGCAAATTAACAGATTTACTGTTTTTCACCTGCTTAGTGCTAAAAACTATTGTGAAGAGAACAAGTCACATGGAAAACATTTTTCAATATCACAAAGCTTTGCCAATTATATGATCGTTGTTCTTTTTAAAGTAAGCCCTTTTTAGGTTCATTTTTGGACTCTATCTACTATTCCTGTTTAAAAGTTTAAATGGTCCTTGATTCATACTGACAGTATTGTGCGTATATGGAACATGTATAAACGTTTGTGGTGGATCCCTAACACTTTACTGACCTAGACAGACCAAGAAGCATCTGAGGGTTCATGAATCCCCTGACAACTTCCAAGCAACAGCAGAATAAAAAACCTCTGACATGTTCCAGGAGCTGTGGTCTGTTTCAGGGCTGTCACCCCTTTGTGTCCAGAGGTGACACCACTGCACAGGATGTCAGAGGGTCAAGTGATGTTCCTGCCCTCAGGTGACCCTCTTTGGCAGTTTTGACTCCAAAGATAGCGTAAAAGCTTCGCTGACAAGATATAGGACTCAAGCCAAAACCAATAGAAAATGTTGCGTGAGAACAGCGATGCATTGTTTCAGTCAGTTATAGTTTCTGGGAAAAAAGGAAAAGAGGAGACAGTGTGACTGAGCAAGGAAGGCTCAGGGACACATGTTAGGATTTATGCCAGCTGGTGTGTGTGTGTGTGTGTGTGTGTGTGGGGGGGGGGGGGTTAAATTATGATGTTCACAGACTATATGTGCACAGAAACAGCAGGTTGCGTTTGCCATTTAATTGATGTAGTAAAACGGTCACACCTTCAAAAACTGATGGAGAAATGGATCACTTTAAAAAGACTTGTGTTGCCATTGGTGAAGAAAGAGACTAGGCGAAAAACAAAATGTAGTCTATAAAAACAAGCATCTGCACGAGCAGGTTCTCCAGGGTAGCCATATTATGACTTTAAAAATGTGGCTTAATTCACCTATGAGTAATGTTAAAGGGATTCAAGTTTTGCTGTAACATCCACAGACAACACAACTAGTCCTATTTGTTCAACTGATATATTTTAAATTGTAAACAAAATGCTTGAGCAGAAGTCAACACCTAAATGAACAGACCCTTTAGAAAACATGACTGCATCAAAACCTCCACGAACTGACTGATTAGAGCCATGAGAAGCAATTAGCAAAGGCTTGTCATGTGGACAAATGAACTAAACATGTCTCTAAACACTAAAAAAAGGAAAAAAGTCAAAGAAGGCCTTGTGTGTTGTCAGAACAGCAAACAAGAAAATGGGTGTTAGCTTCAACACAGCAAAAAAAGAAAAGTACAGAACAGAAAGACATGATTTTGAACACTGCACTTTCTTTTGGTTGGAAGCTTTCTGTCGATGATATCCTGACAGAAATACCCCATGTCATTGTGCCTCTTCTTTTTGTATACACAACATGTTTCCCACATGGCCATGGGGTTCTGTGTGATTCAAGGGCTATTTTGTCAACACAAAGAGCCATAACTAAGTGTCCTCACTTACTTTCTGGTCTACAGATAACAAACATGGAGCGAACAAGTAGCATTAGGAAAAGAGCCATGGCAAGACAACATAAAGCTGAAGTCATGATTGCTGGAGAACAGCTCAGGTAAGAAGAGAGAGAGGAGGGGGACGGATGCTCAAGATTTGAGGTTAGAGATTTAGTTTGATTTTGAGGATTGTGGCTAATTTCAAACTTAATTTCAAGGTTGAGGCTTCATGATGGGAAACTGATAAAGGACCGACGCTACCACCTGCGCACATATCCTAACTGTTTTGTGGCTCAGGAACTTACAGACTGGCTTGTGAGCCATAAGGAGGCCCCTGACCGAGCAACTGCTGTGTGCCTAATGCAGCACCTCATTGATCAAGACATTGTTCACCACGGTGAGAAGGAAGCAAATTGGGAATGTTTGGGATGGAGATATTGGAGGAGCTTTAGTACAAATGAAATAAATAACCTCAATTGAAACAGTGTACTCCCTGTTTTTTAGTGTGTGATAAAAGGCCTGTCTTCAAGGATGCTAAACTGCTGTATCGTTTCCGTACGGATGATGGCACATTTCCCCTCAATACAGAGGTGAAAATCTTCATGAGAGGACATCGATTATATGATCAGTAAGAACTGCTGTTTGTTTGTGTTTAAGTGTATCCACTGCTAATAGCTAACCTTGGAGTGTGCACATAGCACTTCAATATACACAAAGTACATTATAAATAGGCTGGGATGTTAATTTCCCACAAAGCTACATTCTGACAGACACATTGGATATTGGTAATTGTGTCTGCTGCAAGGCCTGTTGAAGTTAATCTGTAACTACATAATGTCCATGAAACCTGATTTGTGTTTCATGTGTGTGTGTGTTTTCAGTCTCATCGGAGACAAGAACTCTATTCTAGAGCTAAGAGAAGAACATGGTGTTCAATATCAGCGCTCCTTTCCTGGATGTCAGTTAATTGACTGGCTGCTTCAGAATGGAGAGGCAGAGAGCCGGCGTCAGGGAATAGAGCTGTGCCGGGCATTGCAGGAGCATGGCATCATTCAACATGGTGAGTCGAGTACTCAGTTGCCCTTTGATGCACAACACCATGGATGAGCTGACTGTCAGCAGCTGCTAGCACTTTTGCAATTTAAAGAAAATACACTCCCAATCCCATTCATTCTGAAACATGTATGACTTGTGTTTTATGCTCTCTCTCTCTTTCTCCCACTCCGACATTAAGTGACAAAGAAGCGTGACTTTTTTGACAGTGGATTGCTCTATCAGTTCTGCATCAATTTTCGCCGCCGTCGCCGTCTTTCTGAGCTGTTAAATGAAAGTGAACAAGACAACGATGAAAGTGTTGTGGTGGCGACGCCAGGGGACAACCATACTGATAGTCCGTTTGTTCTGCGCAAAAGCCAACTTCAGGAGGGCAACAGTGCTTTTCAGTCCGGTAAAACAGTAACACTGCCCTATTTTTTGCATCACTTCACTGTTGTTGCATTTGCTTATAGTGCCATAACTACTTTCATACGACACCTATTACAGTGGGATCAAGTAAAGACTTAAAACAGGTTACCAGTGGGCGTCGAGGCAGCTTGAGCTCACTTCAGCTTCACACAGATGGATTTCCACTGCTCGTCCAGCCGTCCTCAGCATCACTGGTGAGATATAATCCTAAATCAGGCAAGTGTTTAATTAATATTCATGTTTCAAAACATTTTGAATATTGATGCTTTCTTGTGTTTCATTGTCCAAAACAGAATGAACGTGACTGACTTTGTTTTCTTTTGCAGTACTTCGAAGACATTTTACATGTGAAGAGTTACTAGCACCTGGTGCACCCTTCATCAAGAAAGTGTTGACGGTGAATTATTGTAATGATTTAACCATGTTTTTTTCCAAATACCAATGGAATCCCTCGGATTTAACATCATTCTTGTAGTTAAGCCTGATCAGCACTCTCCCAGAGTGGATATAATGCAGTAATATGATTTCAATATGTGATGAAAAACTTACCAAAACTTTTGGTTACTATTACCAAAATTATTTGAAAAATCTGAAAAAGACATTACAGCATTCTCGTTTATTGTCTACTTAAAACTAATAATGATAATAAACATTAGTACCAAGACCCCTTCATAGTTCACCTAACAAACTAACGTTGTTTTTCCCTATGAACAAATGACATATCATGTCAAAAGGTAAACTTTACAATAATTACAACAGAATGTGTCACTTATTTCAGCTTTGTGTCATGACAGGTGATAGGAGACGCCCTGGGTTGGGGCTTTGTTATCAGAGGCATCGCTCCTGTTTATGTGCAGGCTGTAGATCCTGAAAGCCCTGCAGCCACTGCTGGAGTTAAGGTTAGATACTGAATGCCACACACATAGCATAGATAAATTGCTCAATTAATTTCAGAGGGCTTTGAAAACAGCACTTTTGAAAAAAAAAGGACCTACCTGACATTATTTTTTTATAGGCTCGGCAGTTTGTGTGCCAGGTGAATGGCCAGTGTGTTCTCCACCTGGACTACAAGACAGTCACAAGATTGGTGATGACAGGAACTCGCACTGTAGTACTCGAGGTGATGGAACCCCTAGAATGAAAATAACTGTCTTTTGAGTCTTGCTCTTGATTTAGACACAGACTGGACTAAGTAATCTTTTTTTTTTCATATTGACAAGTCATGAATGCAATATTTAAGTGGAATGTGCTTTTGGTTGGTAAACTAAATAAAAATGTAATCTTGACTAAAAAAAGGCTCTGACTATGACGTTTTCATCAGCCTACTGGACAAATAGTGTAATTTTAAAAACAAATGATTATATTAACTACAATAGGCCAAGCTCTCTGCTACGACTTCCGGCGAATTCAAGACGCCATTTTGAATTGAGATTTGACTCACTTGGAAAAGATAGCGTTAGCTTCGGTATAAACCCGGCCCGACCACCGGTGGCAAGAAGTAGAAGGGCTCATATGACACTGGTTTGTCCTGGCTGCCAGTATTGTATGAGTTTAGAGCTCTTATTGAATGTGCACCACACTGTCTGCCACTCCTGATAGTTTGCAGCGACAGCAAAGCAGATGTGATAGCCGACCTGCTAGCTGAGTTAGCTTGCTGTGGGGCTGAGCATCAGCACCCAGCGGCTCTGAGGAGAGCAAAACACACCCCGACCGGTCCACAAACTTCTTTGTGAGGTGTCAATGTACTGAGTCAACCAGTGTCAAGATATTTACCTGACCTACCATAAGGTGAGTAGAACACAACGATTGATATTGGAAGTGAAACTAGAGAAGTAATAAGCGCAAACCGGCTACTGATAGCTACTGTTAGCTCTGAGTGTGCTAGGTGACCAAGCAGACGGGAGCGGGCGACACAGCTAATGTTTGCTAATAAATGCATGCTAGTCCATTACACTGATAACAATTACACTCAGATTCTCTGGTCATGTTGTGAGAAGAAGTCCAAACCTGCTCACTGACTTTAAAGAAAGTAGGTAAATTAAAGCTTACTTAAAGCATTTCCACTGAAGTATTGTAGGTAGATGTCCAGTCATCTTTTAAAGTTAATAAGTTCAAAGTTATTCACTGAGAGGAGATGGGGGTTGAAATGACATGGCCTCACACTAGTATTTCAGTAAGATCAGTCTCTGGTGATGTTGGTGATTGTTTATAAATTCTTATTGTTGCCTTGACTAGGATTAAAAATTCATCCTGTCTCAAAGATATTTATTTGTTTTTTGTCAGGAGAGATGTATCAGCTTCCAGTGAATAACCTTACTAGAATCAGACGAGCGAGGAAACAAGTGAAAAAAGCACTTGAAGACATTGGACTGGACTACTGCAAAGAGGCAGCAGAGGTAAGTTTAAAATAACATTACTAGTAGAGCTTTTAAGTGGATCATGGGATAGTTTCACATTCTTGTATTAAAGGTTTACAGTATATAGAAAATGTCGAGTCTGAATGTACAGAGTGTTATTGCATGGCCTTGCGGAACAGTGTTTTACATTTCACTGCACATCTGTATGAGCATGTGACAAATACACATCTTGAAACTACAGGATTTGGCAAATTGGTTCTGTGCTAGCTCAGCAGAATATATTCAAAGCCAGTGTGACTTATAAATACAAAATATTGTAGGATGTTGTATGCAAAAGTGTATTTTGACTAATACATATTCCATATTATATTATCCCTCTCATTTTTTCTAAAGGAATTCAAGGACTTTTGCCCTGATGAGCAGTTTGTAAAAGGTAGTCTTTGCCTTGATATCTGTGCATGGGATCCATCAGACTCTAAAACACAGGTAAATCCTACTTCTTTATCCAAATCATTTACAAACTTTTGATACACAAATCACCATATTTTTTAAATCATCTAATGATTCTTCCCCTGTCTTTTTTTTTTTTTAGGAATATAGATCAAAGCCATTTTGCTGCACAGAGTGCCCATTTTCTTCCAAATACTACTCAGGCTACAAGAATCACTTCCGCAATGTACACAGGAAATACTTTGACTGTACACTCCTGCTCAGTTGTCCATACTGCACATTCACTGCAAGCAAGAGAACTTTAGAGACACATGTAAAAATATTCCATATACCCACTACAGTGCGCAAGAGTTATGGGATCCCACAGGGGACTGTTGTGGGAAAGAAGAACAAAGCAGGTGAGAAAGTTGGACAGGGAGATGGCGTGGAGAAAGCAATGTATTATTGTAAAAAATGCACGTTCCGAGACACTCTCTATAACGTTGTGAGAAGGCACATCTACAGGGAACATTTTCAGCATATTGTATCACCATATCTAGGTATGGTCTCTGAATCTTCAGTCAAAAATGGATCTAATTCTGTCAATGGCAACAACATCCTCTGTAAACGCTGCCAGTTTTCCACTCGAAGCTACGAGGCTCTGGTACAACATGTAATAGAGTATCACGAACGCATTGGTGCACAAGTAACCACTATGATTGGACATGCTAATATCATTGTCTCCAGGAATCAGTCCTTTCCAGTCACTTTGCAGAAAACCCCTCTTATGATGAATAGGGGTGCAGTAGCACAAGGCCCAATAGCACAACCAGTAATTGGCTATTTAAAGCCTGCGGCCCCTGTTGTTAAAAATCCATCCACCATCACAGCTGGTAAGGTGCATGTCAAACATCCTGGCAACAACACTGTGGCTGAAAATAGTTCTGCTGGTGTGAACACGGGTCAGACACAGAAGTGGAAGATATGCACAGTTTGCAATGAGCTTTTTCCTGAAAACCTGTACAGTGCTCATTTTGAGAATGCGCACAAAGCAAAGAAAGTTTGGGCGCTGGCCAAGTACATCATGAAAATCCACAACTTCACCAGCAAATGCTTACTCTGCAACCGCTATCTACCCAGTGATACCCTGCTCAACCACATGATGATACACGGGATCACCTGTCCACAATGCCATGCTGCTTTCCACAATGTTGAGAAGATCATGGAGCATGTGGCCCAGACTCATCCTGGGGACTATGTTGGACCCCCAGGTGCATCACCTCTTACCTTTGATCTCACCATTCAACAAGATAAGTTAATTAATGTTCAGCTGCTTGTTCTAACTTTCAACATGAAAGAATCCGTCAATGGTCAAGATCAGCTCGCACCTGCTCAGGGCAGTTTTCCACCTTTGGTCAAAGTGAGCGCTCCAAAAATTGCTGCTGCAAGTTTCCCTTCCCTGCCTCACAAAAGTGAGGTTGGTAAGACTCTGTGTCCGCTGTGTTTTACCATCCTGAAGGGTCCTATATCTGATGCTTTGGCTATGCATTTGAGGGAGCGACACCAAGTGCTTCAAACAATGCATCCTGTCGAGAAAAAGATGACATACAAGTGCATTCATTGCTTGGGAGTATACACCAGTAACATGGTTGCCTCCACGATCACGTTGCATCTGGTGCAGTGCAGGGCTGTGGGTAGGACACAGGCCAGCCAAGCCTTCAAGTCTTCCCTGACTCTAAACTCATCAGGGGCTGGCTTCATCAAGAGGCAGCTACCAGCGCAGACCACGTCCAATCCCAAAAGGTTAAAACTGAGCAAGGAGTCAAAGATTTCCTCCACAACCATTGGAAAGCTTCCCGAATCTGGGCTTGCTCTGGATCCAAGAAGCTACGAGCACAAGACGTATGAGGCCAGGAAAAATTTTCTGACAGCCTACTTCAACCGGCAACCATACCTGTCAGCCCAGGAAGAGGAGAAGCTGTCTGCAAGCCTGTGGCTGTGGAAGTCAGACATTTCTAGTCACTTTGTAATGAAACAAAAAATGTGTGTGAGACAGTGTGAGACCAAGAAATTGTCTGTGCTACTTGGCTTTGACATGCACGCTGTCAAGAAAGTAAAGCATGACTTGATCTTTGAGGAGAGTAAGATTGATGGCCCGTCAGTAGAGAGACCTGGAGTTCTGAAGTCTGGCGCTCCAAACACAGACCAAAACAAGCCGTGTGAGACACTTAATTGTACCTTGAAACTCAGTACATGTACAGAGACCATCTCCATAGACTCTGACAGTGACCAAGAAACTGAGAAAAAACCTGAGAATGGAAATGTTTCCACCAACCAACATGTGAATGTGAAGTCCAATGACCCAGCAAACCTGACGGATGAAAAAGAACCTGACACCAAGGAGGATCTTTCTAAAGAGCAGGAGAGCTCTTTGCAAGATGGGAAATCAAATGCCTGGATGACTTTCTGTTAGTGTCTGGAAGTGTGCCTTGGTTGTGAAACAGTTCAGTTGAGAAAGCCGTGTATAAATTCAGCTGGAGAGAAAGAACTTTGCTGAAAACAATTACTTCTCATAAATCTCTGCCATGGGTCACAACAAACTTAGCTTTCAAATGTTAAGCTTGTTCTTAGAGTCTGAAAGAAGGAAAAATGTTGGTGCATAAATATGACATGTAAGTAATGTATATATTTTTTTGCCATCTTTCTTTGTTAGGCTCTTTAAACAGTCTGTCTTATCCACAACCTAACTATCACAAGATTTAGGAAATGATGCTAATTTAATATACATAACTAATTTTCTTTCACATTTAGAAAGTGTAGGATATGCTTATTATTGATTATGTACACATTTTAATAAATATGTTTGTTTACATTTTTTTTTGTAAAGTTTTTTTTATACACTAGTCACAAAGTATAAATATTTGGCTGAATCGCAGTTGGGATGAATCCGTTGTTTCTCAAAAATGATTTATTAAACAAGATTGTAAAATGCATACCTTATCTCAGCAGGATGTTTACAAATTTTTTTTGGGTGCAGTCAGATGTTGAAATTTGCATCATACATTTTGGAAATCAGATTTGACCTTATTTAATCTAAAGGATTTACTGCATAAGGGTTGAATCATGAACATGAATAGAAAAGCAAACAAACTGCATAACTTTTTTTATTGAGCATAACATTCTCATATTGTTAACCCAGACTTTTAAATTAAATTACAACTATAATATGCTTAAAATATTATTAACTCGCACTTTCAAATCAAAAGTCATGCTCAAAATAGAATACAACATACAAGCTTAAAATACTGTTAACTCAAACTTTGAAATTAATATGCAACACATTATTTAAAATGAAGTAATAATATGTATGAGCTTTATGAACGTTACATCTTTCATTGAGGAGATATGATATTTACTACAAAAATGTCACATACCGGTAGGCAGGTTTGTAGGTTCGATGACATTTGTCAATGTGATCTACAACAAAATAAACGCACAAACTTTTCCAGTGAGTTGGATTTTTTTTTTCCACGGGCCCCCTAATTTCCGGCCACACTCAGACGCTGATTGGTGCAGCGCTGGGTGGAGGCGGGACTTCTGGCTCGTACAGTAGCAGAATTGGCCAACCGCCAGCGTGCATCACTATTGAGGCCACAGTGCAGCTGCAAAAATGCCAATATTGTGTCTTTATATAGAACTGCGGCTTTGGTAACTCCAGAGCTGCAATATCTTAGTGAAAATACTGTTTTTAAACAGGTGTAAGTATAACTGTAAACAAGAATTACCCCAGAACAGCTGAGTGGTTGTAGTTTTTAGTTGTTTTCGACGCGTTTCCTATGGACTGTTTATAAACAGCTAGTTAGCATTCATAGCTAAAAATGGTAGTGTTTGTGTGACGTGTGCCCAGAGCTGTCAACAATGGTAGGTGGACAACTAGACTCATTCTTCATCCTTTAACAACTTAATGAATGTACCTTACCAGAGTTCATAATGCTGATCGTCCATTTGTTTTGATTGTTAGCCAATGCTACTTGCCACATGTTTGCTTCAGATCTATATTTTCTAAGCATTTAGCTTCCGAGCATCTCGTTAGATTGTAAAATCATTTCAGCAGATAGCTGAATAATGTAGGGCACATCTAAACTGTATTTAGGTGTGATTGAGAATTACTCATTCTTAAATTGTACTACCTGCATTGATTGTTTGTCTGAAAAAGATCAATTGAGACTTGGGGTTTAGCATGATTAATTACACAAATCAAGCAAGTTTAAATATTGCTGTTAGAATTTATACCAAACAGAACGAAATTAAAAACAATATCAATGTTTGCAAAATGCTTGCCATCATGAATCAATGTGATTTTTCTGATCCCTGTCTGCCCCCAGGCACCATAAGGTGGAGAAGCTCTGATGTGGCAGCAGACAGACTGAGAGGAATGGCAGCAGTAACCATGTTGTCTCATTAGGCTGGCTGTGCATTGGAGGTTTACAGTTAATAATGTCATACAGTAACAGAGAGCTGGTGGAGTTCTTCATAAGCTACAAACTGTCTCAGAGGAACTATCCAACCTATGTGCTGAGGTCAGAGGATGCTGGTGAAAGGACTGAGGGAGACATGGAAAACTCTGCTGCCAGTAATGGCTTTTTGGTCAACAGCAGGAACCGGGCCGGCCAGTCAGTGATGTCATCATCCCCACACACCGACATAGAGGCTGTAAAGGCAGCTCTTCTGGACTCTGCAGATGAGTTTGAGCTTCTCTTTACGCAGGCCTTTAGTGACCTTTCCTCGCAGCTTGACATTACTCCCAACACAGCCTATCACAGCTTTAAGAGTGTGATGGACGAGGTTTTCAAGGATGGAGTCAACTGGGGGCGTATAGTAGGCCTGTTTGCCTTTGGCGGTGTACTGTGTGTGGAATGCGTCCAGAAGGATATGGGTGAACTGGTTTCCCGCATCGCAGGCTGGATGACTACGTACCTGGATGAGCACATTAGTGCATGGATCGAGAGCCAGGGAGGATGGGTGAGTCGGCAGCAGAAGAACACAACATGAGGTGTATTAATGGTTCTGTAACCTTGTCAACCAAGGTGTCCCTGAATGGGGCACACAACTAAAAAAAAAGGAGCTCTCAAAGCTCTCTTGTTTCTTTTTGAGTATTTAAACATCTCTGCCAAGAGGCTTGAAAGGCAGTCCTTATAGAAAGCTTGATTTTAATGGAGGGCAGAAGATACAACTTTAGAGGCTTTATATCTAATGACAAACACACATCAAAGATTCCGTATTTGATTTTGTTATGCTTCTTTGTTCGTTCCATAGAAAACCAGAAAAAAAATTCAGACAAAAAATAATATCTCTCGTCTCATTTATATTTTCCAGGACTGCTTTGTTGAAATTTTCGGACGGGGCGCTGTTGGAGAAGTGAGGAGATCTCGGGAAACTCTCACCAGATGGCTGCTAGTTGGAATGGCGCTGCTAATGGGAGTCGTGGTTGGTGTTTACATCGCTAAGAAACATTAAAGGCACTCCATCTCATCTGCTGTGGCACACCTTGTGTAATGCTACGCACATAAAAAGAAAAGGCAAGGCAAGTTTAATCATAGAGCACCATTCATACATAGAGCAATTCAAAATGCTTTACATAGGTAAAAACAAACTAGAACTCAAAAGGTAATGTTTACAAAAAGCCAGTCTGCTTTTGCACTGAGAGGATCAGGGCTGGCTAAAGCAAGGATGTATGATTATTCAGAATATGTGGCTTGGTGAGCTGATATACTTCCACTATACTATTATTTTCTTTTCTTTAACACACAGGAGAGATTTACACTTTTTACGGGGTGTTACTCTCCAGACTGGAAGTGCTTTAAATGAACCTGATAAGCTAAGTCACAGTGAAACAGAATCAGCTGGTTTGATCACACTGCGTGTTTATCTGTTTTTCTTTTATTCTTTATCCAATGACCAACTCTTACTACTTATGAACAGACAGCTTACAGAATAAATACGTTATATTTTCTTTTCACTTTGTATTGGCCAGCTGTACTGGAGTTTTAGGCATGCTTCAAAAAATAAATATATTTATGTTTTTCTTGTGTCTTATTTTTTGACTGTGTTAAACCAACCATAAAACACTTCACACATTATCATCATGCAATTGTCCTGCTGAATTAATCTCTCTGTAACTCTGCAACACATCTCCCATACATGTAATGCCAATGTCATTAAAACTCAAATGAAACATTTACTATTACTCCATATATCACTTAAGATGTTTTGCCCTTTTAAACTGTAGGTCACTGTGGGACAAATCTTTTAATCTTAACGACTTCAACACCTCTAACAACTCAGACTTCTTACGTCGTACTGAGAGTTGGCTAAAATCAGGGGACTGCTGCCCTCTAGTGGAGTTTTGTCCCCTTTGTTATCATTTTTTGAACGCTCTGAGATCTATAGGTGGTGGTCAGGGCATTGCAGTGATTTATAACATCAACTTTAAGTATGTCTGCTGGTTCCCTTGAGTGTGTTGAATGGTTATCTACCGACCTCCTAGCTCTACTTCAGGTTATATGAATGAATTCTCTCTCCTGCTTTCCTCCACTGTTCCTACATTTGATAAGATCATTATAGTGGTTGATTTTAACCTTGACATTGACAATCCATCTAATTTACTTGACTGTGACTTTTTAGCTATATTAGTAAATTGGGGCAACACGTCTCTCTCCCCACACATACCCTTGGCCACACTCTCGGCCTTGTCTTTATGCTGTGTCTCTCTTTAAATTCATTTCACATGACTGACTTAAATGTATTGTTTTTGACACAGTTCTTCACTCTACACTAGTCCCGTTACTGAAACAAACAGTCACGCTTTTTAAATGAGTGCTCTGCTAGTACGTTCTCCCCCACCCTCTCAGAACAGTTATAATCGTCAATTATATAAACATTAATGACACTTTAAACTAGTTTAATGATTGATGTTCCTTAGCTCTTGACTCAACAGCCCCATATAAAACCAGACCTGCATTAGCTGTCAATTCATCCCTTTGGATCAATAACAAAGCATAACCCTACATTCTTGTTTAGTACTCTAAATCAGCTTCTGAATCCTTCCTGTATTTACGCAGAGGCGCTGCTTGTCAACAGGCAAGGTAGGCAACTGCTTTGGGCCCCAGAGGGCTGACAAAATATAAAGTAAAGCAGCATATCATAGTGTGGAAATTTTGCAATGACAAGTAGGAAACCTACTGAAGGGAGCCCTATCTGAAAGCATTCACTCAGTAGTTGTAAATTGAATGAAAGGGAACAATACAATATGTCAGATAGAATAATGCATTATAATAAATTTATTTAACTTTTTTCTGTTCTCACATACCTGTACATGACAAATTATATATACAATTATTATTACAAATTATTTTGGAATTTAAATGTTTTACTTCATAGACTTCACTTGGTGTTATAGTCTAAAATACTTTATACTACGCATAAAACTTGTCTTTCTTCAGCATCACAAGATCCATCAACAATGTAGATGACAATATAAACCACATAATACAAAGAAATGTGTGTTATCTCTGAACACAGTCTTCACAGTTTTACATCCTGTGGCAGTTGGAGTGGGGAAGACTTTCACTGCAGTGTTGCATCATTACCTTTTGGTGGTGCTAGTGTATAACATGTTCTAACTTGATAAAGCCGTATATTAAACTGCAAGCTGTGGCAACTGCATTGATTCAAAGGTCATTTTCTCACGCTCAGAGAGTTAAGCATTAACATGTTTTTTTGTAGGCCCAAAATGAACTTTTTTTCCTCTCTCTGTCTGAATATTTTATTTCAATCTTTGCTAAATCAAACTTCTATATGCCCAAACATTGATCTATTTTCAGTCTTCCAGACCATCAAAGATGGAACAATTCATTATCAAATTACTTGCCTCAATGTTTAATTGGTTTCTTCAATAATAAAGGACATTGAATAGTCTTGCTGGATAAAAATGGTTGAAGCGAAAAGGAGACAAACACTGAAGGATCAGCAGAGAGAGAAGGACAATAACGGATGGCCTCCTGAGTCAACTTGCCTGTGGTTGCTAATCTATCCCCAGCATTTGTTGCCATTTCCCCAGAGCAGAGCTGGCAGCTGCAGCAGATAAACAGCAGATATGGGCAGTTAGGGAAAAGAGTGTAAATTATAGATGTGTATAAGTCATCTTCATTTTTCACAATATGGGGGCGCTGGTAGCCTAGTGGTAAGTGTGCGCTCCCCATTTACAGAGGCCATGATCCTCGAAGCGGGCGGCCCGGGTTGGAAACCGACCTGTGGCTCTTTCCCCGGATGTCATTCCCCACTCTCCCTAATTTCTGACTCTATCCACTGTCCTATTTCTAAATAAAGTCATAAAAAGGCCGAAAATCGACCTTTTTTTTCACTATACAGGTTTAAAAAAAAAAAAAACATTTTGGAACATTATGTTTTTCCAGTTGTAATCATGCTTGAGGAGGACATAATATCTTCTTTAAAGGTTTGATTGAGGCCTAAATGCAGATAAATCAAATAGAAAACCCCTTGTTTCACGCCTTCAAGTCAGAGGAACATCAAGACAATATTTTCCCATCATCATAGCCCCCGAGGGAATAAGGGGAGGCATTAGAATGGTTGACTGTAAATGAAATTAGGAAGAAGACATTTGAGGAAATATTAACTTAAATAGTGATTTGTTTTACAAATGTGATAAGTTACTATGACAAAATGTGTACTGTGTGTTTATAATGTGTGTGTGTTTGTTTTGTGTCTGTGTGTGTAATGCAGTGTAATGCAGTGTAATGCAGTGTAATGCAGTGTAATGACTGGGTGGTGGCACCCAGATGTTCAGAGGGCTGAGTTGAAACCAAATGTATAAGTCTGCAGTGAAGCGTGTACAAATCTGCAGTCAAAACAATCATCAAAGTGTGTGATATTATTTATAGATGTGCGCCAAGTGAAGCGTTCTGCTTGTGACAACAGATTTTGAAACTTGACTTGGATTATTTGAGTCCAAATTTGCAATGACACAGTGATTCTGAAATAGCGATTGAACTCTGTGGAGTCTTCAGCATTGTCTTTGGATGACACCAATGATGTATTTACATGTTAGTCACACTCTTTCTGGCCTCGTGTCTTAAATGTACATGGTGCCCCTCGCTGAATAACTGACAGGGAGTGTGAGAGTGGCGGTGCCAGCAGTAGGTAGATGGTTGTGGGTCTGTGGCCTCAAAGATAACCTATCAGTCATCCCGCAGTGCTGTGTGAGCGACCCCAGCCCTACTCCTCAGTATGGAAAAAAAACACTGCTCACACACAATACTGCATTATTTAACTTTTTTTTTTAATTAAAAGGACATTACAACAGAGTTTTGTATTTCTTAAATGTAAAGATTTTCAATTGGCTTTTTGCAACAAAATTCAACCAAAGAACTCTTTCTAAATAGTCAAATCAAACTGGAGATAGTTGATTACACGTTTTATCAATATTAAACAGCTATCGTTGGATTATTGAGTGGAAATAGAATGGAATTAACATAAAAATCACAGCATGTTCAAAGATCAGCAGTACACAACTAAGAACTAACTTACATCTTGATAGTAATTGTACAACAGTAACATGTACATTACATTAAGACAAATTCTGAATTCTGAAGACAAATTGAAGTCTATCTGTTCTTCAACTTCATTTATTTTTCTATATAAACATTTTTTATACCCCACAATTAATTGTACAGTCAAATTTACTGTTCCAGAAATATATTTTAAACATTTGAGATCAGCAAATAAAATGTGATACATTGCTGATTAATTTTTAGATTCTAGGGTTGATATTTGTAATCCCTACAATCAGGTTGCTCCACAAGAACTGATTAAAGAGATCTTTTTTTTTTCTTCATTAATAAGCTTCTCGTAACTCATCCAAGTAAACTGCAAAGTATTTAAACTTTTTCTTATAACCTACAACGCTCCCAATGATTAGGTCCAATCATTTATGAAAGAGCTCATGGTGTCCTATCAACCACCTGGAGTATTGCGCATACACATGGCAAGCTGTTTCTGGTACCTAAAGTTGTTGTGGTTAATAGTATGGGAGACAGAACTTTAAAGCACCAGGCCCCTCTCGTTGGAATCCAGTCTTAGGAGTAGGCTTAAAACTGTCCTTTCTATTAAAGTGTATACTTACGAAATAGGGGACTGGGACTGATCCAAGGCAAACCTGGGTCAGCCAAGACTGCCCGATAACTTTATACAAATAGCCTGTCTGTCTGATTGTTAGTCTCTATTGGTCTCTCCTGACACATCTAAACACAATGGATCTTCTGCTTTCTCACGTTTGTGTCTTTTGTCTTGTCAGCAACACAAAAAACATCCTCTGTTAAGAGCTGAGATGTCATGTAACATATGGTACTTGATCATCACTAAGCAAACTCTCTGTAGCCCTGACCTTTTGCATTCAAACATGAAGGAGGAAACTGTATGCATGAAATAATTTCCCCTTTATGAGCACACAGACATGATGCGTAACAACAGACATGAACTTATGTGTGTATGTGTGATTGCGTGTGTGTGTGCGTACGTGTGTGTGTGTGTGTGTGTGCGCGCGCGTATGTGCATGTGTGTGTACGTATGCATCTGTGTGTGTGTGCGT